TTCTGGGTCCGGGGGGTGGGGGCACTGATTGGTGGGCCTGATGGATAGACCTTCATCAGAGCTAAACAACAAAAGAAATCTGAAGATCCTATATTTAATAGTTTTTGAGCAATAACCATTTTTGTATATCCATATACCCCTTTTTCAGATAAATTCTGGGTCCGGGGGGTGGGGGCACTGATTGATGGGCCTGATGGATAGAACTTCATCAGAGCTAAACAACCAAAAAAAATCTGAAGCTCCTATATTTAATAGTTTTTGAACAATAACCAGTTTTGTATATCCATATACCCCTTTTTCAGATAAATTCTGGGTCCGGGGGGTGGGGGCACTGATTGATGGGCCTGATGGATAGAACTTCATCAGAGCTAAACAACAAAAGAAATCTGAAGCTTTAATGTACAACAGTTGCATGCCCAGTCACCCCAACTTTGAAAGGAGCCCCCTCCTCAAATATGGAGTCTATCGTAAAACCGTTGGCTGGCGCAGTGTAGGTCAGACTCATCTACAGTCCTGCCAAATTTCATGTTGATCGGTGCAGCCGTTTTTGTGCTACGGTTGACCAAAAATCACTGAAAAAACAAAGAAAAAAAACCGTACGAAAACAATATGACTCCCTCTTACACTTCGGGGTCAAAACAAGTGCAGATACTCCCTTTAATGTCATATATATGGGACAAAAACATACGTACCCATTCTCACTCCCGACTCATCAACATATTGACGTTTGGTCAGCGTCGGGTACCCTCTCATGTCAGTTCTTAACGAGATGAGAAGGAGGAGGAGGAGGAGCGCATTGTCATATTTTTGAAAAGAGTAGGAAATGTGCGACAACTAACCATTCCAGACCCTAAATTTAACTTCTGTTAGCCATATACAGCCTATTCCCAACCACAGTACCTAAAACTAACCATTAATCCTGATTCCTTATATTAACCTCAGACCCCCAACTCAAAGACCCCTATGTGGCGCAACCTGGAAAAGCCGCGGGCGGCAATGACTGACACGAGGTGGGTACCCGACGCGTCAAGACTGGACGCAGATGGTACCTGACCAAGTGTCAATATGTTGACGAGTCGGGAGTGAGAATGTGTTGTTTTATTGCACAGAAATGATGAAAAACAAAGCCAGTTCCAAAGTAAGTCCACAAGAGTCAAATTCATCACTGTTTTTGTTGTCCAAGTGTCTTGGAGCTCATAGCACCAAATTTTTTTTACTCAGTTACATTTACTTGAGTAATTTTTTGGAAAAAATATACGTTTAGAAATAGTTTTACTGCTTCATACTTTTTACTTTTACTTGAGTAATTCACTATTACTATGAAGTATCACTACTCTTTATTGAGTAAAGTGCCTGTGTCTACAGGCTATACGTCACTAAATAAAGAACAAATATGTTTTAACCAAATCTGCACCTGATACAGACACACATCCACAATTAAGTAAAAATGACAGAGTCCATTTTTGAACACAAGCTTTGTTGAACTGATGTTAGTTTCTATCTGCTGAGCTATTTTTACTGTTTTAGCGTACATATACATACACACACACACACACACACACACACACACACACACACACACACACACACATATATATATATTTTTTTTCATTTTAGTCTTTAAAATACCAAGCATGAACATAAATTTATACATATTGTCTGTCTGATGACATCATTTTTAAAGCTTAAATCAGATGTTCTGGTCAGTTAGTCAATACTTGTTTAGCCTTTTTACCAAATTACGTTTTTACTCTTACTTAAGTAATTTCTTGGAGAAATACTTCTTACATTTACTTGAGAAAAAACATGTTGAAATAGTGCTATTCTTACCTGAGAACAATTTTTGAGTACTTTACCCACCTGTGCTTGTGGGTAAATCGTGCTTCATATTTTCTGCCTTATTAGTTCTTTCCTTGATGTCTTTTTTTCATGGTTTGTTGTTGTGTTCCCCTTCCTGAATATTTTTCCTATTATGATTTACTGTTATTTCTGTTCAGGTCTTGTCATTTGCTGTTCGTCTTCAGAATTAATTATTGCTCAAAAGGTCTTGCCACAGTCCTACTGATTTGTTCTTTATTTAGTTTCTTAGTTTATTCTTGCATTTTGTTCGTTGTGTATTTCTATGTAGTTTTCTTTTCTTGGTTTATTATGTCCTCTTTAGTTTCTCTCATGCTATTAGTTTCTCTGCCTCCCGGCTGTTTTTATTGTATTCATTCTTACCTGTAATCTCATTCACCAGCGATGCCTCGTCATCCTCATGTGCTTCGACTGATCTTCCACTCAAGCTCTTGATTTTTTACTGTTCAGCACTGGATTCCTGTTTTTATGAGTTTTTTTTTTTAATTTAATTTAATTTAATTTAATTTTTGTCATCTTTGTTCCGTTTTTTGTCCCGTTTTTCTGTTCCTGGGTTTAGTCTGTGTGAGACGAGCTCGCTGGTTACAAGACGCGAGCAAGCTTCTTTTTTTTCAACCTGCGCGGTCCTTAGCGTTTTTGTACCAGGAGCATATTGATGGGGAAATGCAGACTGACGAAACACCTGTTACAACACCAGAAAAAGTACCGGTATGCTGAGAAGTAAAATTTAGAAGTGGTGGTACTGTGTGCGTACCGACCCACTTAAAGCACTGGTTCAGTCTTTTTGTGATTTTAACAACAAGCTATAAAAATGTTGAGGCTTTTATTTGATAATATATAGTCAAGCTTTTTTATTATCAGTTTTGTACTTATAAACCACATTACCGTACTTTTGTTCGGGGCAGAGTCAAGGAGTGACCATGGCCACCATAGAAAAATCTGTGGAACCCCTGCTTTGCCAGCAGATATTTGACACAGAATTTTCAATTTAACTGCGATCCAAAAAGGTTAAAAAAATTAACAAACAACTGCACTTATTTTCTAACACTATGCTTCATTGTTGCCTATTATAATAATAGATTCCAGTTGTTTTGTTTTGAACCTTTTTTGGATTGATCATGACCTGGATGACTAAGAATCTTCAGCACTGCTCAGATAGGTCATTCTCATGATGTAATTCTACAGTCGTCACTAGTAAATGAGAGAATGACCAAGAAACAGGAGTAAATCCTCAGCAAATTGCTATGTTGGAAAAAATATGACATTTTTTCTGGGCCACACCCGGGGTCCCAGACTGGCCACCCCTACAAAAATTGTCTCACTACAACACACTACTGCTTTTGTTTGTGCTTGCTTTAAATTAATTACATTTCTGCTAAACATGAATGTTTAAATTAATTTTGTTTGTTTGTTCAACTGTCAGCAGACTATCTCTTTAACTAGTAGACTGATTGTAATGGGACTACAACTAATCAACTGTAAAAACAAACATTTCTTTAAATAAATAAAAAATAAATAAATAAATAAAATATTGAGCTAAAATCTGATGGGATGTTAACTGAGAGAAGTACTATAAGGTCTAACAGATTGTGTGACATCACTATTATTGTGTGACATGTCTGTTATTGTGTGACATCACTGTTATTGTGTGAGATCACCTAAAATTATTTTCAAGATTTGATCAAAACATGCAAAGCTCTGTCTTTTGTCAACATAGAAGATGAAATTTGTTTAAAATTCTCTTTAAAAGATGGTGGGTGATATATATACGTCGTTCTAAAGATTGGTAGGCCTTTCATTTTATTTTTTGCAAGAAAAATGAAATTATTAAATCGTAACAATTGAGTAGGTGTAGTACTGAAAATTGTAAATAATTTAGCTTTTTGCCTTTTTTTGCAGGTGGGGGGTGGGGTGATCTTTTTTAAGATTAAAAAATAAAACAAAACTAATCAAAAGAATGGAGGAAGTTTCTGTTGCTCCCAAATGTTTTTTTTTTCAATTACAGAAAAATCAAACTGATATTAAACTTAGCATGATTATTTTTTTTAACTGATGTGATCACGTCAAAAACATCTAGAATAACTTTGATGATGTAGGTGAAAACAGGGTTTTATTTTAAACTGTGTTATACACAGCTTATAGGGGAGCTGTCCGGAAGGCTGGCTCTTTAACATGAAGTTTTTATGTTTTATATTATGAGTAATTGTTTTTTGGGTCAATCCTTTGCAAAAAAAATAAAACCTTTTTACAAAGTTCAGGGTACTTTGCCTCATATAGAAATAATTCAGTCTGCTTATTCACTTTTGACCTAAAACACATTTTCATATTGACATCGGTGTCAAGGCAAGGTTGTGGTCAGTTCACATGTTTTGACTTGTAGGAGCCAGCTGTGCTCCTGTTGACTGATCTTGGTGTTTTGTTAATGAGGAAAGAGGCAAAAAGATCAATAAGATCCTTAAAGGTCCACAGTTAGAAACCTGCTGAGTGGTTCTTTGTGTGAACATTTCCACCAGTAACCTTCAGAAGTCACGGACAAGATCAGGTGTCCACTTTTGCCTCCGCAATGACACTTTTGCATGTCAATTTATATCAAACTGCCCCATTTCATGTCTTACATAACGCCATTATAACCACCCTGGCGGTATCTTTAGTGGGTATCGAGCTGTAAATGTGGTCACCTGTATTAAGCTGTCAGTCTGAGTGAGAGCGAGATAATGCTTCTTGTCCCGCTCACCTCCACAGATGAACTGTCATTAAGAAGCAAAAAGGCTGCRTTCATCTGCCTCTGATAAAGACAAAGGACATTTATCCATGAAATATCACAGACAAGAAGATACACGTATGCACGCACATCGACACAAGCAAATTTAAAGACTCTTATTATGTTTAGTCTGCACTATTTTTCAGTACCAAATACAATTCACTGTAGTTTTGACATGACATTGATTATCAGTCAGCTAATTAATCAAGTCAGTTTAATGAAAAAAGCACCAAGTCTAAAATAAAATGTTAAAGGGGCCAATATTATGTGTTTCTCAGACATATATTTAAATACTATACCACAATAAAGTATCTATGTCACCTTTAGCTGTTATTAAAATGCTGTTTTTAAGTTTAAATAGAAAATAAACTTATCTTCTCATCACTTCCTCTTCTAAACCTCTTCCTCTTCACCTTGAAATTGGCCTCTGTCTCATTAAGAACCACCTTCGCTTCTGTCTCGCCTATTTCGCATGGGGGTGGGGGCGGGGGGGGGGGGGGGCTGCCATGATGCAGTTTACTTGGCATCTGAAAATACATTTCCTCAAAGGTATTTTTAATCTGAAAAGAGCTTCACTGAGTGAGAACTAATGTTGAGAGCTCAGCAGACAGTTAAGTTTCACTTTCACTTTCACCCGAGAGCCTGCAGTAGTCATGGGCGGGGTGTGTGGGGGGAGGACGGGGAGGACGGGTGCTCTTCCATGAGGAAGCTCGGTTTAAAGACACGTCCCAGGGGTGTTTCTGGTCCCCACCTGTCGTTTTGCTTCTCAGCATGGCTTCTCAAGCATGCATGAATGAGTCAGAGCAAGGCTTTGGGCATGTTTTTATGAGTATATAACATTATAACATGATATAAAACTCAAAAAAGTTCATTTTACATGATATTGCTCTGTTAAAAATGTCACTAAAACATTTTCATTGTTTAGCTCTCTTTCTTAGTGTAAAATTCTAGTTAAAGACTTTCCACTGACATTTTATTGTTATTTAGCTCACTGTTCATGTTAAATTCAAATGTTAAATAAATGTTAAATTTAAATGTTTAAATTCTACATCTAAATGTGTACGTGTAAATGTGGAAGATATATCTTAAATGTTGTGGCTAAATGTTGAAGTTTACAGCTAAGTATTTTGTAAGAGAACACAGCCTTTGCTGTTGGTGCTTGGCTTTTGTTGTGATGTCACCATTCTGTGACAAAAGCAATGCTGCTAACGCTTCCCTACAAGACATCACACTTGCAGCTGTGGCCGATCTAAATGGAGTGTACTTATTTAGCGCCTTTCTATCAAACCAGGATACTCAAMRTGCTTCACACTACAATCTGTCCTCATTTACCCATCCACATTCATTCAGCACTGCTAGATCTCTCTATAAGTTAATACAGGTACTTAAAATCACATTCATACACTGATGGGACACATCAGAGGCAGTGGGGGTTCAGTGCCTTGCCTAGGGAGAAGCGGGAAATCGACCCGCCAACTTTTACATTCGAAGAGCGACTACCCTAACCGCTCAGCCACAGCCGCCCATGTCCATCAGCTGATGCATGAGCTGCCCTTCAAATTCGCATTTTGAATTTAGATTTTCAATGCCAACTTCAGTAGCGTTAGCAGCATTATTAGCGTCAGCTGGTGATTTTGTCTCAGGATGATGACGTCACAACAAAAGCCGCACACCAACAGCAAAGGCTCCATCCTGAAAAACTGAAATGTAAACTTCAACACTTAGGCACATTTAAGTTTTATCTTTTAAATGTAGTTTTACACATTTAGATTTAGACTTTAGTATTTACAGATATTATTTAAAATAGAAACTTAACATTTAGTAAAAATTTTCAAAATGAAAGAACAGTGAGCTATAACAAAAAAATGCTAGTGGAATTTTTTAACATTTTATTTTACACTCAGTGCCTMATAGCTGACAGACACTAAGCCTTATTGCTCATTTATTAAAAAGGTAGTATTGATAAGAAACAATTTTATCAACTTCAACATTGCTAATTTAATTTAGAAGTGGGCAATAAAAGGTTCTAAACTCTTTGCTGTTTCTGCTATTTCTGATAAAACTCACTACTGTAAGCACTGGCTGAGGTTTTTTAAGTTATAGAAGATTTTAACATGTTTGAAAAATTACTGCAAAGTACTTTTTTGTCAGCTGTTGACTGAACACTCAGAAATTCTTTACAATTTGACATTTTTCCGAGACAAAAAAGAAAAAAGTAATAGATTTTGCTAAATACTTTTAGATGATCTACATTTTTCCAAACTCAGCTCTATAAGTCAGTGTCTGTTTTCAGAGGCTGCACTGACTTGTGCGCCTCCCTAAAACTCCTAATCTAAAATATTAAAGGCAATATACTTTGAATTTAGCCTCGCTTGAGGAGACGCACACAAGCACTAGCTAAGACACACAAAAATATACACGAACACAGATCCTCGCTCAGTCATTCTCAGCAACACCCACATGGGTCACTTTCATAACACGGAGAGAACAAGTCGTAGGAGGGAGCTGGAGAGCGAAATGGTGAGACAGGAAGTGAGCACACTGCTGGATCCACTCGTTCTCTTCCTCCAGGAGGGTGTTTTGTACATTCAGGCACTCACACATAAACCAATCATACAACTCTACATATATGCTGGCAGGATAAAATGTGTTCATTCACATAAACAAACATTTTGTCACAGACACTTTGGAAAAAAAACTGCAGGGGAAGTGGAAAGCAGATGTTCCTTCCTGTAAAGGTCCACTTCACAGGTAGGGAACAAAGGCTCACTCATTTTCTTATTTCATTTTTGCTCCCTTTATGACTCACACACACTCCTGCTTTGACTCACACAAGCAAACTCAAACTTATTAACTCACAGAGATCATCTCGTCCCACTTTACCCCGATGCTTTAAGGCTATAAAATTTGGGCTAAATATACCACCTGTGCTGAAGTTCTGAAGGGAGGGATGCTCAGGTAGAGGAAGGCTTCGGGCCGGTTATTTCCAGCAACCATGACCCACTGTGGTAACCCACTTTCTCCCCCTCTCTCTCCATCTTTCTCCCTGTTTTTGTCCCCTGGTAATCATCACGAGTGTCCACTTCTAAAGCTGTTGTATGGAAAGTGTGTTGGCTTCCAGTCGCTGCCCGCCACACTCTGTATTTGTCTTTTCCGTCTGCGTTTTCATTCCTCGCTTTGTCTCACTGGATTTTGATTATTATTTAACACTCCTAACTTCTATTAAGGTGTTCCATTATACCAAGCTTTACTTTTTTTATAACCCAAAGTATATTTTGACAACTAGAGAGTGCGTCTTAGCTCCTACATGCTTTGTAGATTCTAATGAGGAGGGCAAAAGTGACTGTGTTATTCCTACGAGTATTGCTCTTTAAGATTTTGGCTCATGTGCAGGAAGAGCTGAGAAGACATAATATTCACACTGAATATATTAGTTGAAACTGTTTTCCTAAAAGACTCACACACATTTATTAATTCCTTCAACCTGTTAATTAAAAGAGCAAAAAAAAGCAATAAAGGACAGGATGTAAAAGTGTTTTCATTAACGAGAGTGTTTGCTCTTTGTCATTAACCCACCTGCTGTCCTCAGGTCAAAATGACCCACAAGGCCTCAGTTTAAAAAAATAAGGCCTCATTTCAACCTAAGGCCAACAGAGGGGTTAAAATGTAGAGCTTTCTGTAAAGATGGATCACTTTTGTTTTTATCAAATTTTCAGCCAATAAACGTCCAGGTTTTAAAAGACTTTAAAACTGTGTGGATATCATGTTAAACTCCTTTTCACTGAGGGCCTATTTTGTGTTTAACTTTAACTAAACACAAAACATCACATTCCTCCTCCCACTGCTAAAACTGAACACCTCTAACAATAACTGAGCTCTTCGTGGTATTTCCTGCATAGAAACAGTGTTTAATATGTCCCCTTGTAAACACTGAAAAGTACTATATGTATAACTGAATGTGAAATTAATAATAAAAAAAATACTATTAAAAGTAAAAGTAATAGAGTTTTACTGACAGTTGAGTTTTGGTGAGTWGCTGCARTCTTGAATTCTGAACTCTCCCACTTTCCAACAAGAAAAAGTAGCCGACAAATATGCAGTGACACTGTGAATTTAGCTGGCTACTTTTGAACCCTGTGCACCTCCACCTAGTGGTAAGATGTTGTTACTTTGCAGGTAAAATAACTGATGCATTTTGGGAGATGTAGTCAATGCTGGTTTTATAGCAGCTTACGCTTATTTTAAGAAATGAATAAATCTTTGAAAGCCACATGCTTTAGAGAGATATCATTTTCATCATTTTCACATAAACCAATAATGTCTCTTTGTCTTTTACACCTCGTTTCCCAGGTGGTGTTAAAAAATGCCCACATGGCTGTCGGATCCTTGACTATCAACGAGGAGAGGTCAGAGGTCATCGACTTTTCTGTCCCTTTCATCGAGACAGGAATTAGTGTCATGGTTTCCCGCAGTAATGGCACCGTGTCTCCCTCAGCGTTCTTAGGTGAGCGGTGAAGATTAGTCAGAAACAATGTTTGACCCTACACTTTTTATAAAAAGTGAAGTTATTCAGCAGAGAAAATATTCTTTCTTGGAAGCTGTAACTGAGCTGTAAGTAGAAAAACACTCAACTAGAAGATTTTGCTCATTGCAGTGTTCACTATCTGTGCTAGCTGTGTTACAGTTACAGTTGGTCAGTCAGGAATAGACTTGCTATTTAACTTTGCACTCATGTAGGCAAATGACTTCATCATCAGCGCAAGTGTTTACATACTGGTTGTTAGTAAGTAAAGTTTTATTTATAAAGTGCCTTTCACAGAAATATATTCACAAAGTGCTGTTCAGTCATCATCAACAATGTAAAAATGGTGGAAAGACAAAATAAAACATAATAAAATATGAACATAATGAAACATCAAAAGAGGAAGAATAAATTCTAAATTGCAACTCAGACACACGATCGAGGCAGAGCCTGACAAGAGGTGAGTGATTGTGTATACAAGACTGTACACATCAAATAAGAAAAAGTGTTGAATAAAAAAGAGGGGGAGGGGTGAAATTTAAGCCATATATACAATAATACAAAAAACAACAGAGAAAAAAAGGCAGGAGGATTACACCGTATATTCAATAATACAAAGACCCATAGTTGGCGAGCAGACAAGGGGTAGGATGCCATTTGRATGAATGGTTAGCTAAAAGCTTGAGKAAAAAAGTGGGTTTTAGGTGTTTTTTGAAYGAGACAATGTTATCAAGAGAGCACAGATTAAAAGGAAGTTCATTCCAGAGCCTGGGGGCCACAGAGGAGAAGGCACGGTCACCACGGGTCTTAAAGCGAGTGAGGGGAACCATAAGGAGATTTTGATCCTGTGAGCGTAGGTCCTGTCTGGGGTTGTAAGAGGAAATGAGACTTTTAATGTATTCTGGGGTTTGGCCATGAAGAGCTCTGAAGGTGAGGACCAGGATTTTGAACCTGATTCTGAATTGAGCAGGAAGCCAGTGAAGTTCTGCTAGGATCGGGGAGATGTGGGTGAATTTGGAGGTTCGAGTTAGGAGTCTTGCTGCCGAGTTTTGGACAAGCTGAAGACGATTTAACTGTTTCTGGTTTAGGCAAGTGAACAAGCTATTACAATAATCTAAGTGGGTAGAAATGAAAGCATGAATTACCATTTCCAAGCCTGAAGTGGACAGTAGGGGGCCAAAATTTAGAGATATTACCAAGCTGAAAGTAGCATGTGGAAACCAGATTCTTTATGTGTTTATCTAGAGACAGATTTGAGTCAAAATTCACTCCCAGGCTGCGCACATTCTGATGAACAGTTGAACTCAAAGAGCCGAGATGTTCTTTTATCTTAGGGATTTTATTTTCAGGGGCCAGGGTTAACGTTTCTGTCTTACTAATGTTTAGGAGCAGCAAGATGTCAGACAGCCACTAATTAACTTTAGTGACACAATTTATGAGAGAGGTTAGCTTGTGTGTGGTGGAGTCATTAAAGGAGCAATATAACTGCAGGTCATCTGCACAGAAGTGGTTTGAGATGTCAGGGAAATTTTTGATGACCTGAGTCAGGGGGCGGATGTATCTTGTTACAGCAAGGTTCCACTAAAAGGCACACCAGTTAAATTAGATCAAACATAATCTTGGGACTTGAACAATATAAACAACAAGCAAGGAATCAATAAAAGACTTAAGTATTTATTTTAAATCCAGGATTCTTTAGATTGTATTTGAGCCTCATGCCCCCAGAACCGGGGCAACACAGTTTTTTTCCGTTTTCTATTTCTTTTAACTTCTTTTAACTTAAGATCTGTCAGTTGAACCTGGACATGTTTGGTATCAATAGAAAGCTAAGAATCCACCAAAAACAGTTCAAACGACAAGCAGTTGAATCAGAAAGTAAACGAACTGTGCAAAATGGCCTCATTGCAAATCTGTAAATACATTACAACAAATCTGTAAAGGAAAAATTTCTGACATTTTTTTAAAGGAAGTCAAAGTAGATACCTAAATATGTTGTAAAGTGGGTTGAAAGTTTTTTTACTTGATTTTGAGCGAATATGGTCCAACTGAAGCCAAATATAATTTCTCATTATTTTACATAATATAAATGGTGACAAATACATATTTGGATAACTTTTGAAAAACAGACATTCAGTAAAAGGTCTTTTAAGGCAGGTAAGAAAAAATAAATAATTTTTGGAAGTAAAAACTTAACATTTGTTAACATTTATTAATGGTACCATCATGGTCCATCCTATGCAGAATGGCAAAATTCAAAATAATTTCTTTACTAAAACCACTGTAACTTTGCTCCAGTTAATTTTAGCAGCATGATTCTTTGCACAGGTAATGTCCACAAGTGGATTTATGGTTTACAAGAGTTTTTAGTCTACTTCATTATGGTTTTAAATAGGTTATATACTGTCTAATGAAAAACATTTTCAGGCAAGAGTGAAATATTTTTTTAAAAATTATGTTTCATCCCCAATATCTCTAAAATCACAGCAGCTGTTTTAATAGTTACACTTCTGATGAAATCTCTCAAGTGTTAGCTTTATTTTGATATCAAGATTATTTAAGTAGAATTTGTAAATGCTGAGATACACTCAACTACATTTCGTCATGGTGTTTTGAGCAAAAACTTCAAGAAAACCCCTTGGGACTTAAGAGGTTAATCCTTGCATAAACAGCTGTGTTTGTTCCTTTAACTCCACCTACTGTTCGCCTAAATATTGCATTTTGCAGATGTGTAGAATCGAGGATGTGTAGAAATAAAGTTCAAAACAAACATACAAAAGTAACAATAAAGATGTGAATATTTATTTGAAAGTAATAAAATTATCTGTTTTTACAAATACTAATATCCTAACCAATAAAGGTAGATAACCTGGTGTGCAAAACTGATTTAACAAGACAAAAACCAACGCTAATTAAACTGTTGCTACTAAAACCACTCTTCATTTTATGCTCAGCAGTATTGGACTTGGAGAATGAGTATTTCTTAACTAGAAATCTGACTTAAGGATATTTTTTATAAACTTTAATATTCCAACTATCATGTTTAATCTGCAATAGTTTGTTTGTTTGGGACCCAGGAATACAGTGAGAGGAGCAGCGGGTAGAATCCAAAATTATTTAATAGAAACAAAAACAAGTGTAACAGAGAACCAGGACTGAACAGAGTTATGTGTGTCTGAGCTTCTGACAATGAAACTGAGGGGTATCAGTGCTGGGAGGATGATTGCTAAATGAGGACAGGTAGGTTGATCTTAAACTGCAGACATGTGGGAATACAGCTAAAAAATGAGGTTGACTAAATAAAACAGTCTGAAATAAATCCAAACTAGGAACTAAACACAAAATAAACCCAAGAATACACAACCATGGTCAACCAACAAAAAAAGGAAATAAACCAGTTACTCACAACCATTACCGACTGAATGAAACATTAGTGATGTAGCTGCTTCATCAAAATGTGTCAATATTGTGTAACAATGACGCATCAGTGTCTGTGCTGAAAGTCTAAACATCTCCGAGTGTAATGGCTGCTTTGCTAGAAGCCCACACCTACGTCTTCAATAACTGCCCCTCAAGTTTACTAAATATACAAGAAACAACTTTTATTTTAGGGGTTGATTTGGGCCCCAAATGTTATGTTTTGATAAAAGATGTTAAAGTTTACTATCGTTGCACTGAGGTGTATGTGTTCTTTTCACCAGCATATAGATCTTGTAGTCTGTCGGTTTAGGTTGACATTCATTTGTCCTTCTTCAGAAGTTGAACAGAAAATGATGTAAGGTGGTGAAAGCAAAGCTTCAGCACATTTGCACTGAGAGAAGTTACAATGAACTGCATGACAATACCGCTAACTGCTTATTTTTTTCCTCTCCGTCTCTTTGCCCTCTTATGTTTCCCACTCCTACTCCATTTCTCTAATGCTTCCTTCCTCTTCTAAATCTGACACACCGCATTTGCATATCTCCCTTCCTCTCTCTTCTCACTTTGTTTTTTTTCTTTCTCTCTGCCGCCCTTGCTGAAGGGAAACTCTTCCTCCCTCCTCATGTGCCTCGTTTCTCCTCCATCGTCTGCCTCCTCACAACCCGTTCCCTTCGTGTGTCCATGCTCTTCAATTCCTCCTCTCCCTTTATCTTTCCCTCTCCTCTCTCCTTCCCCCGTCCCCCCCTCCAGAGCCCTTCAGCGCAGATGTGTGGGTGATGATGTTCGTCATGCTGCTGCTGGTGTCAGCAGTGGCTGTGTTTGTGTTTGAGTACTTCAGCCCTGTGGGCTACAACCGCTGTCTGGCTGATGGCAAAGGTGAGAGGCCCGAGCTCAACTCTCACATGGTGTGGATTTGACCTSTTCCACAAAACAGATGTGAATTAGTGCATATTCTTTCAGTTTATGTTGTCTTCTACTGCTCTCACTCAAACTGTTCGAACAACAGATGCGAGGCAGGCAAGAAATCATTGCAGAAACTTTGACCTCTTCAGTGTGTGTGAAAAGCAGTATTTTCATTAAAAACATTTAACATTGGATTAAAACACCCCCAGTGGCCATAAAAAGTGTCGAGCAAATATGAGCATCATGCTACAAGATTTTCTTTGATAAGTTGTTTTTGTGAGTCTGGTACATTTCTAATACAGCTGATAAATATTTTCACTTTAGGAAACTTTCCCAGTAAAGAGTACATTTCATTTCAAAAGTCTTGTGTACAGAAATTTAAATCTTTGTAAATACTTAGAATATCTCCTGCATTTGAACCTCTGGCTCATACACAGGCTGAGTTAATGGTCTATGGTGAGAAAAAAATGGAGATTATTAAAAAAATAAAACTGGCAGTGCCCAATATTAGCATTTTTACAAGTACTCGTAATTGTACAGAATGCCCGATTCTCAAGACTGAGCCTTCCTACACAGTTCCGCTCAATTCTAGCTTACCTCCTCTGCTCCGTCTGGGATTTTCCCAAGGATTTTCCCGGTAGAATTTTAACCAGTCCAGTTAGCAAACAGAAGGAGTTTTGAACGACGACATCGATTTTCTGCGCCGTTTTTCAAATCTGTTTGTAGTTTAGCAATGGCAGTGGAGGAAGTGAATGAAGCCAGTTCGTGTTGACAAGGTTTCCAAATTAATTTAAATTTGTCTCACAAAGCCTGCAGCACACGTTTACAGCCACCTCCTTCGACTCAGTACTTCTATCTTCCCAGTAGAGGATGGTTGGTTACAACGCATGCAGTTTCTGGTTAGCTTCTTAGCTTAGCCTCCTTCACAGTCGAGCTGGCACACTGCATACGTCACAGCCAAACATTAGCGATTAGGTAAATCAGATCCAGTTGTTTTAAACTTCAACAGAGTCCACACCTGCAGCAAGCAATCGTTTCTCAATAGCCAAGGTTCCACACCGTCCGTACGAAGGAAAGCGAAGAATAAGGGGCTAGTTTTTAACCAGGCTACTGAAGCCAGAAAAGATAAGAAATGTGTTTTTTCAAAATTGTACAAAGTTCTAACTTAGTATGTACTTGGYATAGGCAAGTACCCAAGCTGAAGAACTCATACTCTGTTTGAAAAATACTAGTATCAAGACACATCTAAAAAACACTTTCCTACAGGGGTGCCAATAGAATGTGGGGTGGGAACAATACCTCCCCATCTTCTGCCCCTGAGTTCCAAGCATGGGTGTAATTTGTGGGGGGTTGGGGGGGGGGGGGGGGGGGG